CCCGACAGCATGCATGCCTCTGTTGTGGTGCCTGCATCCCTAAACTTTGGGGAAGGCCTGCTCAGAACGCCGCGGCTCTACCACCATTGCATGAGCACGATCGACGAGCCATCGTCCTGCTAGCTGCTGCTGCATCAGCTTCAGGAAGATCGCAGAGCATAGATAGACCCATGCATCCATCGTGATGTGTATAGTCATGCAGGTGCCGGCTGATGTCGACAGGAGTGGTGAGCTGTCGCTCACGACTCACAACTCACAACTCACAACTCAGCACGTCTCGAGATCTGTTCTCTCAGCGACAAGCTCTAGCAGTATAGCGTGGAGATTTTGGCTAGTTCCCTCTCTCGCACGTGCATGCCTCCTAGACAAGGCCATCACAGTCGTGGCTGGCATGAAGCGCTCAGGCAGGTGAACAAAACGACGAGAACGCATCAGGAATCCAGATTGCGGCCTACTCCGTGGCTCTGTTCGCAAGGCAAACGAAGGTACACCAAGAATCTTATTAGCTGAACCTGCAAAGCTATCTTGCAGCTCAATTTGCTGATCAAGAGGAGGTCGTCAGTCGTCCGTCACGTCCACGCTTGGCACTACATTCGTCATCGACCGAGTATTTGTCTGCATTGCATTGTGTGTACAACAGTGGCTGCCTTTCCGTGTTTTGAATGCGCAAGCTCAAGAGTATATACAAACAGAAATCCGGGGCTGTGTCACCTTGTACAATGAAGTGTGCGATGAGTTGGAACTTGAAGATCCTCTGAGACGCGAGGAGCCTACAAGCGTGGTCTGATTACGCCTGTTGAGCAGCCTTCTCAGCTTCCTTCTCCCTCTGTGCAGCCAAGGTGGCATCGCTAGTGTGTCCGTTAAGGTGAGAATTGCCAGTAATGTCGTTGTACTGCTCGTTCGTAGCATTGGGTCCGAGATCGCGAGCAGCCGCATAAGGAGCTTCGGGCTTGTGTCCCTCTCCCGCAAAGATGGCTCTGTTTCTGTCAGCGACGTACTCTCCATCTTCCGTGAGACCCTTCTGAGCGGTCTTCCTCGCTGGGTAAAAGTCGGCAGTGTAGGTCAAGAAGAAGAGCGCGAGAATGAATGCACACGTCCATTCTGCTACTCCTGCTACGCTGACGATCCGATTGCAGCGCGTGTCCCCTTGTCTAGCGTCTCCAGAGCAAATAGCGTATGTCACTACGAAGACGATGAGGACGATGAGGGCAATGGCAAGCAGAATGGACTTGATAATTGCCATGGCACGCAAATGCCACAGTTCGTCATCGTGCGACTTGGAAAGGCTGTCGTGAGAATCAGACAAAAGAGAAGCTGGTAAGCAGACGATCGCTTTGGAGCGAATCATGCTGAACTGACCTGAAGATCTGAAGTGTCTGGAAGAGCACGCTGATTGCGACCCCCGCTACGAACACCACAGTCATTGACCAGTGCACGTTTGAGTAGCTGTAGTTACGGAAAGGTGAGCAAGGTAAGCGTCTGCCATTCGCTTCTTTGCGAATCTAGCCACCGCTTGCAGGTACTCGGAGGAGTGGTGGCCGACACCACTGTCGGCCTTTTGAGTACGCATACAGGCCTCTGTTTTTGACTCACTTGACCGCATCGAAGACACTAAGCAAGACCAATGCAGCAGCACCAATGACAGCAAAGACAACGCTTGCGATGTCGTAGTGGGTTTGACGCTTCCTCAAAGATCCAGGAATACGCCTTTGGTGACGAAGATGACGCTCGATCAACGTAGTGAGGATGTAGAAGGCAGCTGATAAGGATGAAAAGACTGGCAGAGGGATGTGCAAAAGGGGGCGATCGTCAGCTTGGTGTTCCAGCCGCTACCCTTGGCAAATCTGAGAATCGGCGTCTTCCTCTCGCAAGGTGACTCGATCGCGCATGATCCGTGCCTGAAGACTCGTGCATTTTCCACGTGGACTCACTGATAAAGAACGTCTTGTGCCTTGCTCCCACATCTGAGATGAAGACTACCGTAGCTTGATCATTGCTGTATCCCTCGAAGTTGTCCCTACCACCCCACAGACCCAAGAGACCAAAGATATCCGTGCACCAAAAGGCGAATGTGATCAGCGGCGCGAGCCAGTAGTATCCGTGAATGGGCAGCATTGTGAGCTGCGACAGTTTCCAAAGGATGTCACTTGAGGTCTTGGGTATGGAACCGGAGCCTAGGTGGTTGAAAAGACCTTGCTAGAGTGGAAAGGCGTCGACGTTGGTGGTAAAGTCGTAAGTCGATGGACGAGGCAAAGAGATGAACGCCCAACTGTCTTGTTCTACAGCACCTTTCTTCCTCGCTCGGAAGGCATCAAGCGTAAAGGTGACCGCTCCGAGTTTGCCCAACGGCAACGACTCGTCATAATTTGCAGCACCGCATTCATCGTCTGCAGTCCTCGACACCGCTTTGGTACCGTTCGATCAGGGAGTGCAGCAGCGACGCAGCAAGCGAAGCCGTGCACATCTCGGCTCTTTGCGTGGGCAGACCCTGCTGCGAACGGCAGAAGAGCCTGCCCTGCGCATCCAACGCGGCAAGCTGGCTGGAAGCGGTGCTGAAGCGATCGACGGCCCAAACGCATCAGGAAGGAAGCTGCAGATTCGAGAGATGATGTACGAGGCACGTTGGAATGAAAGATCGAGCCGTCAAGCGGCGTCACAACGCGACACCGGTACAGGCGAGCCGCGTGGCTGCAGGGTGCATTCACCGCATGACGCAAACTTGCAGCTTAATTGGCATCATGAGTCTTCATGACACCCGCGGTGATCAAGACCCTAGTCACGTGCAACGCCAAGCAGACGTTGTTGACTCAAAACTCAAGACTGTGACTCTTTTCTTCATTCTTGCTTGATTTCCATCAAACATCAAAACATCGAGACTTGACATTTGTTGAATCCAACCAATGGGTTCCAAGTCTGCAGCTTTCTCAGGAAGCGCGATTCTAAATTTGGCTTCCTTAAGGCAACTTCACAACCGCAAGCCAAGATTCGTGGCAGGCGGGTTGGCGCGTGCAAGGCATGCTGCTTGAGGTGTGCTTGAGCAGCAGATAGAGCCTAAGCTGGTGCGACAGGCAAGAGTCGGCTTCAAAGGCAATTTGTCTCAAAGAGCTACCGTAACTCTGATCCTGCGACAGGTCAGTAGCTCTAGCATGGATGCAATGTGTCGTGAGCGCCACCTCGACCACACTCGGTCGCGCACAGGCACCTATGCGCTTCCGGAAGGTCAAGGGAAGGCAAGACGACACTGGGGTCAGACCAGATATTCAGCTGCTTTCGAAAATCGTCTATTCATTTTTGCGTCGTCGCAAGCGCAGCAGAGACATGACAGCGGGACGCCTCGAGCCCGAATTACCGCTCACACGGGGTCGTTGCTCTGAGTTCACAGGGGCGCGGAGAGGGAGGTCTGGAATTCTGGAAGGTGCAGGATGGCGTTGCCACTGTAGCTTACTTCTTGATTTGACCAACGACACGTTGAGGTTGAGCCATGTCGATGAAAATGTCGTCGGGACTGTGACGGTAGAGGGGAGCGCGGAGTCTCTTCTGGTCGAGATGGTGACCGATGAAACCGATTGAGCGTCCAAGGACAAAGATGCCGTTAAGGAAGCCAATGCGAATCTGCTCGTTTGCCTCTTCGGTGGTGAATGCGCCCGAGTCCCTGAGCAAGTCGACGAAGCAGACAGCAAGACATCCATCGACGTTGAGGATCAAAGTGTCCTTCTTGGCAGTGGTCACACGTTCGACAGCAAGGGCGTAGTCGAGCATGCGGCTAGATGGGAAGTTCTTCTTTACAAATTCCTTCACAACCTCGACTCTGTAGTCGGGGTTGCTGGTGCTCTTGATCTTGTGACCGATGCCTGGAATCAAGCGTTGAGCTTTGCGCATCTTGTCGACGAATTCACGAGGTGTCAATCCAGAGTCGTAGGCATTGCTGAACTCCTTTGCAGCGTCATCGAGTGCACCGCCAAACCGGTCGCCGATGGTCAAAAGACCAGAAACGAGAGAGGACACGAGGTCCTTACCAGCACGAGTAGTGACGATGGTGTTCATGGCACCGGATACGGCAGGTCCGTGGTCAGCGACCAGCATCAAGGCCATCTCGATGAACTTGGTGCAGAAGGCGGGCAAACGGCGCTTGAACCACAGCAGAGAGATGACACCACCAATTCCCATCTCTGAGGCAAAGACTTCCGAGATCTTGACGCCAGAGTACATGAGCTCAGCGCCTCGCTCGTCGGAAATGGTGGAAATGAACGCCGCAGGCTTTCTGACCATGCCAAGCTCCTGCGCCCACTTGTAGTCGATGGGAATCGCAGGTGGCGCGCGCTCAGGCTTGGGCACGACGGTCCCACTAGCCACGAGCTTCTCGTAGACTTGTCTCAAGACGACAGGCAGATCCTCGAAGGTTTCGGGAACGATGAAGCCGGCAGCCTTCATCGCAGCGTTCTTGGCCGAAGCTGTCTCAGCATCAGAGTTGGCCATAGATCCAGCGTGACCGAACTGAACTTCTGTAGTGAACATTTTGGCGCACGTTCCGATGGCCCAAGCGACGATGGGCTTGGTGATCTCGCCCTTCTTGACCGCATCGATGACTCGGTACTCCTCAACACCACCGACCTCACCCAGCAGCACCAACAGTTTGCAGTTGGGGTCCTTCTCGTAGCGGATGAGGTGGTCCAAGAAAGTGGTCGCTGGGTAGCGATCACCACCAATGGCGATACCTTCGTACGTTCCGTTGGTCTGCAGACTGAGGATGTTGTTGAGCTCGTTGGACATACCACCGGACTTCGAAACGTAGCCGACGCTTCCAGGCCTGTAAAGCTTGGATGCAAGGATGTTGTCCATCATGCCACCACTGTTTCCGATACGGAAGCAGCCTGGCTTGATGCCGCCCACAGTCGCAGGGCCGATGATGAGCACGCCAGCAGTCTTCGCACGCCAAAGGATCTCACGGGCGTGACGTTCAGGTACTCCTTCTGCGATCAAGGCCAAAGCTCTGATCTGGGGCAGCTTCAAGATCTCCAGCGATGACTGATAGACGGAGCGTGAAGAGGCAAAGTTGACCACAACATCTGCGTCGGGGTGCTTCTTGACAGCCTCTTCAACGCTCGTGTAGACTGGCAGCAAGACCTCTTTGGTACCCCAGTAGAACTTTTGAATGTGGTGGCCGCCGAACGGGTAGATCATGGCTGCTACTGAGGGCGAAGCTCGGCCGCAGGAGAAGTCAAAGTCAAGCATGCCTTGGATTGCGCGGGGCTGAAGACCGTAGACCAAGCTGCGCGTGTGCTCATCGAATGGCACATGAGCCGGTCTCTTGGGGACACCAGTGACGCTGTCAAAAGTGACGATCTGGTCTTGCGGCTGGGTTCGCTCTCCAGTCTGAGGGTCGACGTGACCAGTAGGGTGCTGCGCGGGAGCGTCTCCGTTGGCAGGCGCGTTGGGAGTCTGCGCACCTGAGGGCAGAGGCTTGTGCTGCACATCAAGATCAGCAGCGGATTTGATGCCAAGAGCAAGAGGCACGATGTCGGTAATGTGCGTGTCTGGGCCAAAGACTTGAATTTCGACTCCGAGATCTTCGCCGAGCAAGCGCATCGCTCTAAGACCCTCCTGGTAGTTTGGCCCACCTCGACGAACGAAGATGCGAACTCCATAGGTCGAAAGAGCCTGCTTGAATTCTTTCAGGGCGCGAATGATACCCTTGAAGGTAGCAGCCACGTTGGTAAAGTTGGCAATGCCTCCTCCAATGATGAGAAGCTTGCCTTGAGGGTTGACCTCGCCACGAGTCATCAAGTCAACTTTAGTAAGGAGCGCAGACTTCGGTCAGCATCGCAAAGCAAGCTCGACACACGTCACACTGAGCTCACGGATTGTCTTGGCGTACTCGTACGTCTGGCCCTCGCTAGGCGCTCCGGAGTACTCTCCGTAATTGGCCAGCTCGTGCGCGTATCCATGTGCGGCAATGGCATCACTATCGAATAAAAGAGAGGCAAGAGACTCAACTGCTGCGCAACCCTGCCACCTGCTGATGCTAAGTTTTAACGCACCTGTACACGACTGAAGCACCACCTCCTGCGACCATAGTCCAAATGCGGCCCTTGTTGTTCAGGACAGTCAGCTTCAGAGAAGCACCTGTACCCGAGTCGAGTTTCTGAATGTATGCTTCTTCCTTGGTAAGATCACGGCCGAAAGGAGCAGGGAAGAACATCGGAGGTCCTCTGTCTTCTCCTTTGACGCCGCCCGCTTGACCAGCGACTGAGTTGTTGTACAGCGCTGGGTCACGAGCAATTGCCCACTTGGGGCCGCAAATGAAGTCTGCAGTTTGGTCCAGCTTGGCAGCCATATCGAGATAAGTGATCGTGCCATCGTCTGTGCAAACAAGAGGGTTGATCTCGAGGTAGGCAAAGTGCAGGTCTACGTAGACATTGTAAAGGCGGATCAGGAAGTCGGTGAGGTGCTCCTTCTTCTCTGCGCTCTTGACACCCGGCAAGAGGGTAGAAGTCCACTGCTCTCGCGTGGGGAAGCCTTGCTCTGGGTCCGCGGGAATCAGCAGCTTCAAGGCCTTTGCGTCCACATCGCCTACGTCTACACCTCCCTCGTGAGTGAAAAGAATATAATCTCCCTCTCGTGCAGAGTTGATACAGACGTAGAACTCTGTGTCTGCAGGGTGAGGGAAGAAAGGCTCTACGATAAAGTTGTTGAGAGTTCCTGTGACTGTCTCCACCTGTAGAAAGCCAGTCCCTGCTGTCAGTCACTGCTCGTATGCGCTTCTTGAGTCGTGTCGAGCAGTCGCGAGCTCACTTTTTGTGACTTGCCTGCCCGCTCGCTGATCCACGCTTGTGCGTCTTTCCAGTCAGAATTCAGCTTCAGCAGGCCGGCCTTGCCACGTCTCTTGATGAGCTGATCGGGCTTGGCAACCAGCTTCACATCGTGCACCCAGCTAGGCAGAGCAGTTTCAGGTGTCACTGTGTTAGTCTCTGGATCCCAAGAGACTTGCGCGACCTTTGCGACTGGCGCGTTAAATTCCTTAAGCTTGAGAGAGGGATGAGCTACTGGAGACCTAGGCAACCAGTAGTTGACCAGCAGCTTTGCGTCAAACTCGCGAATGGCTGTCAAGCGCATGAACGAGGAAAGTCAAGGGGGTTTGAGTGCGCTATCCATTCGCCGGCAAGCTCCGTCTGCGATGAATCGTTGAGAAGTAGCACTGAGACACTCACGCTTGGACGACATCGTGCAAGCCGCTCTGAACAGCTAGTAAGAGCGTAGAAGGGAATGGACGTAGCGTGACTGTTTCGGTAGCAGCGGCTTGTGTGTATGCTGTCTGCAGAGTATTAGGTCGCGTGAAGAATTCCTCTCCGCAACCCTGCAACCAGGTGAATGAAGGTGTGGAAAGGTGAGAGTGGTAGGTAGGGTGGTTGTGGATAGAATGAGGAGATGGATGATACGCAGCACCTTGTCGTGAGCACTGATCTGCTGGCAAAGCACACACGTCTGGTGAAAGCTCAACAAAATGCACGGCGGTCGGAAGCAACTCGAGAACGCATGGATGGCTTGGGCTTCCATGCAAACGAAGCGCCGAGAGGGATCTGTGCGCGCTGTGCTGCCTCCCCAAATTCGTCGAGCCGGTCGGAGGCTAGCTAGCACACAATTCAGGAGAAAGGTTAGACGGGCT